CTACATTGGATTTTGATTGGATTTTACATTTAGCGATTTTCTTATTTTGGTGTAACTCTAAAGCAAATGACCGCAGGTACATGAAATTTTCACTGTTTATATAGGCATTTTCTATATTTGATAAAATTTTCAAAATTTTCAAAATATTTTGATTTGTTTTGAGCTGTTTACTGACATTTTAATTTTTCACCTCTTTAGTTTTTTTTTCTTTAAATATCGATAAAAATTTATTTTTTGGGTAGAAAAGCTTGAATATTTAATACAAGGCTCCTTACATATTTTTACTGCAATAGTTGGAAAATAAAAGAAATATATAGTCACCATTTTTTTTTATAAGCATTCAAAGTTTGAACTTTGACAACATACGTAAAAAAATGATAGTAATGAATAATAATACAAACATATAAAAATGTATTAATAAATAATGTCCATTATATGTTTTAGATAAGCATGACTCCTGCAGTCCTGCRTAATTACTGATATTTTATTCTTTTATTGTAGGTATCAYAAATTTCGTTGGTTTTCTTTTCCATTGAAATATTAAATGCATTAGAAAAGTAGGTATTCATCTACATAGAAATATCAAATATTAAAATAATTAAATTAAAACATTGATTTTTTTCAAAAATCTTAAAAACTTTATTTAATAACAACCTATTTAAATTAAATTAAATATTGTATCTACATAAAAACAATTTTTGTTTGACAAACAAAATAACAACTAGGTAACAAGTGGTTCATGTTTAAAAAAATCAAACGTATGTAGTAATTATCTGTTAGGTATATTATAAATGGACTAATCAAAATCTGTAAATTAGTAGATAATAATATTACATACAATATCGGGTATATTATTGGTTATGTGCTACTGGCATGCTATTGCTATTTACTTTTATTATATTATGCACATTTTTTTTTTCATTTATACGTACATTCGTACATAACTAAAATTTTATAGTCTCTAGAGCATATGCATAATATCTCTCATCATAACATTTTATGTGGTGGGTAGGTCTTGTGGACAACCAGCAAGCAATTTCCTGGGCGCCACACAGACTGATATCGACCTCCTGACGACCTGACTATTTTTACAACCTTTGTCCTTGATATTAATCCAAAAGKTTTTATGAAATAAATATTCGCCAATACCTAACAATATCGAAACTAAAATAATTTGTGTATCAAAATTACTTTTTATTGCACTTTTAATACTCAAAATGTTTTAATATATACTTTAACGTCTTTGTTTTTATATAGAGTTTCGRCATTAATCCATTGCCCTAGTCCTGTAGATACACTCAGAGTGGGCGGAAGCCTAGAAATGACGTCACCCTTCAACCCCCGCCCGACATCCATGTTATTGATTTTCACCCTTGCTTTYTTTGGCCATGCACAGGCGCAACTTAAGGGGTATACACAAGTAGTCTACTGGTGGAGGCTGATGAGTTCGTGTCTGTAGGTCGGACATTTTCACCAGTTATGTTGTGATATTTATATTACAGGTAATTCATATATTCAAACTTATTTTGATTAAAATAGAAACCTTTTTATATTTTTTATTTAATGTGTACCTATGTGTTATCTAGTCTTTTAGGGTAGAAGAAAGATCATTTAAATAACGTCACATTACATATAGGTACGATAAAAAAGGCGTCAATCATGTCWTCTKTGAAAGTAGCCGTTCGAGTACGGCCTTATAACAATCGAGAAATATCTAAAGATTGTAAATGCATCATAGAAATGGCTGGTTATACTACATGTAAGTTTCATTCTTCTAGACTTTCAAAATGTAAAGATATAAAAAAAATTGGCCCCTCCCTAAATGTTGTGTAATGATTTCCATTATAAAAACGATTTGTCTATTAGGGGGGGGGGAAGTAGGTATCGTTGTCTCAAGTGCTGTTGCTTTAAGGGCGCTCTTAAGTTTATGAAAAAAAAGTCTTGAACCTAAATTATTTATAAGTTATAACATACTTCCAAAATCACCCCCAAAAAATAAATAAAAAAATTATAAATTATCGGTATTATACAATCCGATACAGTTATATTCGTTGTTTAAAAATTAAAAATATAATATAATGTATATCTTTYAACTATTTTTGTTCGGTGTTGACGTCTTTAATAGGTAGTTGCCAAGTCAGTTTATAAGTTTTCGGCGAACCCGACAAACGATGATAAATGTATATAATTTTCATGTAAATTGAAGTACGGTGTATGAATGTACGATAATATTTTTACTATCTTGTCGACTACTGTCGAGCAGTTAACAGTCGTCATAATAACTATTAACTACGTTACATTTATGCTTAATTAGTTGGTAACGTTATAATATTAAAATTAATTYTATAACATAAAATAGATTATGAATTTAAAAAAAGGTTAAGTGTGGTCAAGTATAGAAAAATAAATCAAGAAATTGAAAAAAATGTGCAAAACCTTGTAAAAATCATAATTTTTTTTTCAAAAACAGAAATCAATGGTAAACAATATTAATACCTATACAATTGAATAATATATTTTTATTTAAATATTCATTGTTGGGATATTTAAAACATTTTTTTTGAACTCTTGTGTTGCTATTATAAAAAGGTTATATTAGTCATATTAGTCTAGGCCTAGAAGTTCGTGCGTTAAAAACTATTGTAATATACAATTAAAATCAGTAAAACATGAATTTGATTTTTTTTCGTTTCAAAATAAAAGTTGGTAGTAATAATAGTTAAAAGAAAGGAAAAAAGTATGCAGCATTTAATTAATATGAAACATTGTATTTACATTATACCTTAACTCTTAAGTATAATAATTTTATTATTAAAATACGTATAGATAAAATAATATTATCTATCCTTTTAAAATGAATTTAAAATTCCTTGTAGGTAGTATATATAACTAATCGATAAATTGCTCACATGTAGATATAACCAAAGATAAAATTCGAAATAACACCAGCTTAATTCATATAAAAAACTAAAATTTGTGCCTAGGACTTTAAGACTTTCTTGTAATGTGTTATCGCATATATAAAGCATGAAATAAAATTGTGAGACAATTCAATTATGAATACTAATCAATGATTTGCTGAAAAAAAAACCTTGAYAAATTCATTTTTAATGAATAATTTTTTTTTTATAAAACCAAAATAACCAAGAGATTTTAAATTTTTAAGAGTTTTGGGCATCAAATTTCCTAGATCAGGTTCTGTATATATTATCTATATTCATATTCGGTCACAAATTATCATTTTAACAATTAAAAAAATGTATGAACTTTTTATTTTTTATTTATCAGACTTAAAATTAAAAGTTTTTTTATAGGTGTATTAGTGAAAATAGTTTGTTATGAGGGTGGGGGGAGGGGAAACATTGCTTTGCTTATATTTAGATATCTACTCAAATTCATAGTATATAATAGTAGATTATTAATTTTAAATTTACTTTGTATCCTGTGGTAGTATTTTTGTTGACTATAAAATAACATAAAAATTTCATTTTGTTTAAAACAAACAATTTTATTTTTGTAATTGTTCATTTTTGAAGTGTTTTAAAATGGAATATATATTTTATTATTTTTATTAACTTAAAGTATCCATTAATTTAAGACATATTTTTGGGAAAATAGCTTCCATGTTAATAAAGCATTTGAATAAAAAAATGTATTCTATTCWAAAGCCATTACATTTATAATTTTAATCTTCAAAAAGAATCTAAATAGTATCTATATTGTGAATGTTTCAAAGATACAATTAGTGTTTTTTTACATTTTTAATTTATTTTGCAGCTATAACAAATCCAAAACTTCCTCCTAATGTTAAGGATGCAACAAAAAGCTTTAATTTTGACTATTCTTACTGGTCTCAAAATGTAAGTAACAACTTCATCTCATTTGTTAACTGAATAAAAGGTTCCTAACATATTCCCTTATTCTAGCCTTCAGATCCAAACTTTGCATCCCAGACTATGGTGTATAGAGATATTGGCGAAGAAATGTTGCAACATGCTTTTGAAGGTATATTGATTACCACTGTACTTCAACTATTAATATTATTATCATTATCTATTTTGCTAAAATATCTTTTCTTGTAATATTTCAGGTTATAATGTATGCATATTTGCATATGGTCAAACAGGAGCTGGAAAATCGTACACTATGATGGGGCGGCAAGAAGAAGAGGGTCAAGAAGGCATAATACCATTAATTTGCAAAGATTTATTTCATAGGATTAGATCAACTACCAGTGATGAATTACAATATTCTGTTGAGGTTAAAAATACAAAATTGGAAAATGAAATAGTTTTCTATTTTATATATAATATTTAATTTCAGGTTAGTTATATGGAAATATACTGTGAACGTGTTCGCGATCTATTAAATCCCAAAAATAAAGGTAATCTTCGAGTTCGTGAACATCCTTTATTAGGACCTTATGTAGAAGATTTATCAAAACTTGCTGTTACTACTTATCAAAATATCCATGATCTCATTGACGAAGGCAACAAAGCCAGGTAAACATTTTGACATGTTTAAAATCTTTAAAAGGTATACATTTATTTTTTCAAAGTRCTTATCAATTTTGTTTTGATCAAATAAATATAAATTTATTTTTATAACTAAAAATAATTTTTATGTATTCCTTTTTTAAATTATTTCTATCAGAACAGTTGCTGCAACAAATATGAATGAAACATCTAGTCGGTCTCATGCAGTTTTTACTATATTCTTTACTCAAAAACGGCTAGATGAAATGACTCAACTAACTACTGAAAAAGTTAGTAAAATATCACTAGTTGATTTAGCTGGTTCAGAAAGAGCAGATTCAACTGGTGCAAAAGGAACTAGGCTTAAAGAAGGTGCAAATATTAACAAAAGTTTAACTACCCTAGGAAAAGTTATATCTGGATTAGCTGAAATGGTATGTATGTCAATTATGTATATGTTACAGGCAAAGTATACAGTTTGGGCATTTATACATTGTCCGGACATTTTATACAACACCCTTCGTATATTGGGAAATATAGATAACGGATGAGATAATTTAATGAATAATAACATGTATTTTATATTATTAGAAATATAATAAGATTTTTAAATTTTATCATCACTTATTTTCGCATGTACGACTTCCATGACATTTTTATGTACATAGCCACTCCAATGCTTTACACTTGCACTTCTGTGGTTTACATTTTTATACACATGTACATTGGTCTTAAACYTGACCACTGAGAATAGGTAAAAGGCCGATTGTAACACTGCACGATAAAAACTACAACTACCTATAATATAACTTATAAATCAGTAAATATAGTTATAATATATAATGTCACGTACACTCGTATAATATATGGACAAGCGGACATCCCCATTGTAAAAATACAATAAGAACAAACAAACTAGTGACAAAATAATTTCACTTTATTCTAACTATGTTTTAAGATTTATCATATTTTGTTAAATCCTYTCATCCGTTATCTATATTGCCTAATATACGAAGGACATTGTATAAGATTTCCGGACAATGTATAAAATGCACAAATTGTATACTTTGGCTGTAACATATATAATAAAATATCATTTATTGATTACACAATAGTATACATTTATATTCATTACTTTATTATTTATTTTTACAATCATTTTACCAATTTAAGGAAGTAGTTTATTTAAAAAAAAAAAATGTTAACTACATGTAGTACRCATTAATTAAAATATATTTAAAAATATTGAGATTGTATTTTTAATTTTCCAAAAATAATATAAAAAAGTACTGTTGGTATACTTTATTTTGAATATAACTAACATTTTAAATGTTAGAATTATAATATATTATTATATTTTGTTTTTCATGCTTTTCAATTTTCAAATGGCTTATAGTCAGTAAGTATATATTTTGTTGATGTTTATTTGACACATTTATTATATTTTTCTATTTCATTAAATTAGGCTTCTAAAAAAAAGAAAAAAGGAGATTTTATTCCTTATCGTGACTCTGTTTTAACTTGGCTTTTGAGAGAAAATCTTGGAGGAAACTCTAAGACTGCAATGATTGCTGCTATTAGTCCTGCAGATATTAATTATGATGAAACATTATCTACTTTACGGTAAGCTATGAATAATATTAACTTGTAATAATTATTACTGATCTTTGTTATTATATTTTACTATAGGTATGCTGATCGTGCAAAACAAATAGTATGCAAAGCTATTGTTAATGAAGATGCTAATGCTAAACTTATTCGAGAACTCAAAGAAGAAATACAAAGACTTCGAGATTTATTAAAAGCTGAAGGAATTGTAGTACAAGAAGGTATATTATTTGTTATTAAAAATATCTACCAAAATAAAGTATTTATCTCATAGTTTGGTGACAGTGGTTTTTATTTTTATGAATATCAGGTGGTAAAATGGTTTATGGGAAACTAAAAGAAAACCGTAAGTAGGGGTCTCCTMTCATGCTTTCAGTGTCCTGTTTCCATAAAGCTCGCTTGGCTTTGACATATAAAATATATTACATTATTTATACTTTAATTGTCTATAAACTATTAAAATAATAATGATTGCGCTTAGCTACAATTGTCTGCATCATTTAAAATTTATATTTAATTATACATTTATAGTAACTATTAATTTATTTTTAGGAGATGACGGAGTAAAGATGCTTAAGGACAGTGATGAAAAACCTAATATTCCTTCATCTATGATTGCTGAAGAGGCTGTTGACCAACTTCAAGCTAGTGAAAAACTGATTGCTGGTATAAAAATATATTTGTTGCTTAAAAATGTATTAAATTTAACTGTTTTAATTTATATTATTAAAGAACTAAATGAAACATGGGAAGAAAAATTAAAACGTACAGAAGAAATACGAATTCAAAGGGAAGCTGTATTTGCTGAAATGGGAGTAGCAGTTAAGGAAGATGGTGATACAGTTGGAGTTTTTTCTCCACAAAAGGTAAACTTAAGAACATTTATTCTTAGAAGCCAATTAATATTTTCTGTCATTTGTTAAGACTCCACATTTAGTCAACCTAAATGAAGATCCATTTATGTCTGAATGTCTTATATATTACATCAAAGAGGGTGTAACACGTGTTGGATCTGCTGAATCTAAAATCACTCAAGATATTCGACTGTGTGGCTCGTATATACAACGTGAACATTGTCGGTTTGAGAATTCTAATGGTGTTGTTACATTAATACCGATAAAAGGTGCCTTATGTTATGTAAATGGACGAGAGCTTACAGAACCTATTGTCTTGAAAACAGGTTCAAGAGTAATTCTTGGGAAAAATCATGTTTTCCGATTTAATCATCCAGAACAAGGTGAACTGATTATTATATAATTTATATGACAAAATAACTTAAATTAATTATGTTTAGTAAGGGAACGTAGAGAACATCAAAACAAGACAGAAGTAACTGCAGAAAATATTAAAGAAAGTAATAGAAAAATTAATTTATAATTTAAGAATTTTGGAAATATTAAATATAACTTCTATGGTTTATACTGTTTATAGTCACATCCAAACCAGAGAAGAGTTCTCCTGCCGAAACCCCCATTAGTAATGAGTATGTTGATTGGAACTTTGCACAAATTGAATTATTAGAAAAACAAGGAATAGACCTGAAACAAGATATGAAACTTAAGCTAAATGCTCTTGAGGAACAGTTCAAAAAAGATAAAGAAACGGCAGATCAAATATTTGAAGAACAACGCAAAGTGAAAAAAAAAACTTTTTAAATAGTTAATAAAAATTCTAAAATTTTCATTCATACTTACAGAATTATGAGGCTAGAATAGATGCACTTCAGAAACAAGTTGAAGAACAAAGTATGACTATGTCAATGTATAGTTCCTATACTCCAGATGATTTTATTCAAGAAGAAGATATTTTTGGTAAATAATATAGTTTAATGGTAATGTTCTAACATTATAAATTGTTTTAAATTGAAATTTTAGTTAATCCATTGTTTGATGCTGAATGTAATTGGACTGATAAAGAATATCAGTTAGTTTTAACAACTTGTCGTAAATGGAAATATCATCAATTTACATCACTGCGGGATGATTTATGGGGAAATGCTGTCTTTTTAAAAGAAGCCAATGCTATATCAGTTGAATTAAAGAAAAAAGTATAACATTTTTTCCATCTTAATATATTTTAATTTATTTAATTTATTAAATTTTTCAGGTCCAATTTCAATTTACATTGTTAACAGATACTTTGTATTCTCCATTACCTCTGGACTTCTTGACTGATGATGATGATGTAGATAGACCGTTTCCTCGTACATATGTTGCAATCGAAGTTCTCGACACAAAGAATGGTGCTACTCATTATTGGACATTAGATAAATTGAAGTGAGTATTTTTGAGTTACTCATACTTATCAGGTTATCAGGTAGGGTGATTCTAACGCTTGTATTTGTGTTAGAACGAGGTTGGATCTTATGCGCCAAATATATAATGGGGATATTGAAAGCCCCCAGAATTCACCTTGCGAGCTCAAGGATGATTTTTTCCAATGTCTGACTGCCTGCACCCCTAACAAGTCTTTCTCCTATTTGATACCCTCAAGGTTAGTGTTCCCTATATAAGTCCTATGCATAATGTTTAAGTGGTTTGTCAGACATGCTTTTTTCGAGAATATATTAGGATAATTATCCCATTAATTTTGTCAATTTTCCCATAAATATTTCAAGATATCAAAATTATTGAGATATTGCTGCACAATTTATACATATATTATATATATATTAGCTTATATATAATTGTTTATATATGTATATTATAATATTTACAGACAAAGATTAGAACTTATGAGAGAAATGTATCAAAATGAAGCTGAAATATCACCTACATCTCCAGACTTTAATATAGAAGCAATTACAGGTGGAGATCCATTTTATGATAGATTTCCATGGTTTAGACTTATTGGCAGAGCATTTATCTATTTAAGCAATCTTATGTATCCTGTACCTTTAATTCATAAAGTATCAATTGTTAACGAAAAAGGTGATGTCAAGGGTTACTTACGTGTTGCTATACAAGCAGTTTCAGGTATATAATATTGATTATTATATAATAATTCTTTATTAAATCGAAATAATAATTTATATATATTTATAGAAGATGAGACTTCTGATAACTCTTGTGGAGTTAGACAATTTGCAAAAATTTCTTTTAATGACAAAGATCTTTTAGGCCGTTTGTCGGGGAAAAAAAATACTGATATTATTGAAAGAGTTGTTACAGGAAAAAGTAGCAATAAAGGAGATGGTACTAAGTATAGTTTTTTTATTGTCTACTTGAAATCATAATTATTAAAAAATAAATTTAGAAATTGAAGCCGATGGCGATAGTGGTCATGGAGACAGTTCTATGTCCTCTGATATCAAAGATGAAGAACTTCCAAGTCACCTGTTAATTAGTAAAGATTTTACATTTAGAGTTACCTTATTACAAGCTGTTGGTGTTCCTGACGAATATGCTGATATTTTTTGTCAATTCAAGTAATTTATTGTTTAAATATTTTATATTTTATAAATATTTTATTTATATTAAATTTATTTATTTTTAGTTTCTTGCATAGACACGATGACGCATTTTCTACAGAACCTGTAAAAAATTGTGGTAAAGGCACACCAGTTGGATTTTATCATGTACAAAATGTAAGTATATAAATTATATAATGTTTCCTGAAATAAAGTGWTATTTTTATTATAGATTACTGTTCCTGTTACAAAATCATTTGTAGAATATATAAAGACACAGCCAATTGTATTTGAAGTTTTTGGACATTATCAAAAACACCCACTTCACAATGATGCTAAACAAGATAGTACTTTGTATGTTTATAATTAAATATAAAGATAAAAGCAAGAATATTAATATAAAATAGAATATATAAATGTTTTATCAATATTTTAGTGTTCGGCAACCTCCAAGAAGAATGTTACCTCCATCAATACCAATTAGTTTACCAGTACGTTCTCCAAAGTTTGGAGTATTGCCCTCATTGTGCACATCACATATACATGCCAAGTATGATTTATTGGTTTGGTTTGAAATATGTGAACTTGGTAAGCTAATTAATTAATAAATATATGGCTGTTTTAATAAAATGTAATGTATGTATTAGGTCCTGATGGGGATTATGTACCTTGTGTGGTTGATCATAGTGAAGAGCTACCATGTCGTGGACTGTTTATGTTACATCAAGGTTTACAGCGCCGCATACGTATTACAGTAGTACATGAAACTGCTCCAGAATTACGTTGGAAAGAAATACGGGAACTTGTTGTGGGTCGTATTCGCAATATACCTCAATCAGAAGATGATGATACAGACAATTCAGTACTTTCACTTGGCTTATTTCCTGGAGAATATCTTGAAATACCTGGTGAAGATCGTTGCATGTTTCGTTTTGAAGCAGCATGGGATAGTTCGTTACATAATTCTATACTTTTAAATAGAATATCTACTGGAGGGGAACATATCTTCATAACTATATCAGCTTATTTAGAGGCAATTATTGAATAACTTGGTAAATTAAGAACTTTTAAATAAATTGATTTAATAAATTATAGCTGGAAAACTGTGGATGTCCAGCAATAATTACCAAAGACTTAAGCATGGTTATCTATGGTAGAGATGCACGTACAGGACCTAGATCCTTGAAACATTTATTCAGTGGCAATTATAAAAACAGTGAAGCAAATCGGCTATCTGGCATTTACGAGCTTGTGCTGAAAAGAGCTTCAGAAGCAGGTAGTCCAGGTAGTTTTCGTGACAAAAGAGAAATGCAGTAGAAACCACATGAGTTATTGGCTTGTAGATATTGTAGTTAAATCTTCTTCCATTTTATAAATATTATATAGCTTATGTTGATTGTATACTTTGTGCAGGTGTCCAAAGACGACAAAGACGTGTTTTGGATACAAGTTCTACTTATGTACGAGGTGAAGAAAATCTTGAAGGTTGGAAACCACGTGGAGACAGTTTAATATTTGACCATCAATGGGAACTGGAGAAACTTACCAGACTTGAAGAAGTAGGCCGAACAAGACACATGATTCTTCTTAGAGAACGGCTGGGTCTTGACAAAGTACCAATCACCAAATCTGAAAAGGTTTTTAATCTATGCTTGTCCAATGTCCATGTCAACTTATATTTAATATGCACTATAAATCATTTTTATCATAGGAAGTGTGCAACATAATAGCCAAAGCATCAAGTTCCACTAAAGATATAATGAGGCCGCCTAGTCCTGTGGTATTACGCAACATTGATCCTAGTGTTTATGAACCTTGGCAGATGAATGAGAGAGAACGATTCTTGGCTACAAAATGTATCAAGCTTATTCAAGGAAGAATACCATCTAAAGTATACTAGCCTACTATTATATTATTAATTGATAGATGATATAAAACAAAAATAAATTATTCTTTTTCAGGAAAATTTGTTATTACCTTACACTAATGTATTGACTCCAACTGATGATAAAACTGACTCTAACATAAGTCATTCATCAAGTTGTGTTACTATTTCAAATCATGAGTATGATAACCAAATTATTATTATTAAATTAAAATGTATTTGTTATTGCAAACAATTTTTTATTTCAGATTATTTTCGCCAGACCGTAATTTTCAACGTAGTTTAAATTTAAATGATTCTATATACCTTAATCAAGATACTATGATTTCTTCTCATTCATCAACATCTGAACCACAACTTGTGTTATATGTCCCAGAAGTTGAAGAGATAAGAATTAGCCCTGTAATTTCGAGAAAAGGTTATTTGAATATACTAGAACATAAAACTAATGGATGGAAAAAACGATGGGTGGTAAATATTTTTTTCTAATTATTGTATTCATTAGATTATATAATAAAATGTTTTAGAATGAAAATAATTGATTGATGTTGGCATTTTGTAATTAGATATATTTATTTCCAGACAGTAAGACGCCCTTATGTATTTATATTCAGAGATGAAAAAGATCCAGTAGAAAGGGCATTAATTAACTTAACTACAGCTCAAGTTGAATATTCTGAAGATCAATTAGCCATGGTCAAAGTACCAAATTCATTCAGGTAGTTCAGTTACTTTTCAGTTCATTAAACATAAAATATTTTTATTTAGAACGTCTAAAACTAAAAAATTAAATTACTAAMTAGCTGATCTCATCCACTTTGTTGCCAATTATATATGATTGAAACTTAGTTTAATTCATTATTTAATATTCGGTGTAATGGCATTCATGATTTATGCACATTTTTTAAAATGCTTTCTTAATGCATACTTACTTGGTAGTACGAAGGTATCCTGAAAATTGTGGGACTCAAGTTATGTATGCTCTACATTGATCGGACGACGGACAGAGAATCAATTATACCAATTTTATTATTTTTACTTAATCCAACCTATGGTGGATTGTATACAATCTGCCATCCGGTGATTTTTTTATATGGCTGCGTATGACCTGACTTGGCTCAAGTAAATTGATCAAATAATACAAATTGATTTAACTGAATCAGATTGTAATACACCAGGGTGTAGTATGCAATTAAATCTTTACTTTAAAATATAGAGTTACTCAAGTCACACACATTGATCTTTATCTAATGAAAATCGGTTGAATGATTTTGGAGTGCATCRTGAACTAACACGTCATACACACAATTTTTATATAAATAAGATTAAAAATGGTGCCAAGAAAATAAAATGTATTAGTACCTTTTTATTTTATAAGTTTTTAACTATCTTAAGTTATTGACATCTAATAAGTAATTACAATATTAGTCATAGACATAATATGGTGGTAGTTCCTGCTTTATTTAAGAGGATGACACACCCGCATGTATTGTTACTAGGGCTGGGCCGATATACAAACCGATATTGGCAATATCGGTGTTATCGGTATCRGGTTTTTTTTAAACCGATATTTGAACWGATATGGAAAAAAAACAATTTTTAAGATTAAATATTTGATTGTACTAAAAACTAAACACTTTAATTTTTATAAAAAGACTTAAACAAGGAATGTTTAATAACTGAAAAAGGGAAAATTATTATTTTTTAAATATTATGTGATTTGTTTTTTATTATAATTTTTATTTGTTTTATTAAAAAGTTAAAATTTATTATCAACTAACAAGAAAGAAAAGTGTTCATTTTAAGTACCTATTTTAAATTTTAAACTTTGTTATTTAATATTTAATATTTATTATTTATGTTCAACTGTGTTAACTCTATTTGTATTAAATATTAATTGTATAATATAATTAAATAATTAATTATTATTTAATATTCAATATTTATTAATTATTTAATTTAATTATTATATAATATATTAATATATAATAATATTGATTATTACAGTATTACTAGTTACTACTTAGTACTTATCGGGTATTTTATAATATCGGTTCATGCTTTTGAATAGAAATTCAAAATTTTGAATACATTGGTTATCGGATTTAAATCTGCTTAACATATAGGTTTATCTGTTATCAGTTAAAAGTGATATTGGCTCATCCCTAATATTGTTACCATCTTACAAGTACGTAACATAGCAAATTTTACACTCATCAGTTTCAATTTAGCTCCGTTAGTTTAAAATTTAGAGTGAATTGACCTCTTATAAAAATTAAAGGTAACATTATTATCAGGTTATGTCTTAGGCTTTTTATTATATTTTAATTTTAACATGAGTATTTTTAAAATTGTAAATTGCTTAAATATCTTAAAATACTCATAATTCACTTTAAAATTAAAATATAATAAAAAGCTTATGTTTTAACCTAGATAATAATATTACCTTTAATTTTTACAAGAGGTCAATTCACTCTACATTTTAAAATAACTGAGCTAAATTGGAATTTCTGAGCATAAAATTTGTTACGTTGTCACTTGCAAGACGAAAATAACACATGCAGGTGTGGCGTTCTCTTAATATATAAGGTCTTTGATTACATTTAAAAGAATAATTAAATTTAAAAAATACAATCATTTTTCATAGTTATTAATTAAACACATTCAGATATTATATTCTGAGTATTTAATTATTCAAGTTTAATTTAGAACAAAAAAGACACACATTGGATAATGTTGAAATGTTGAATGTACATAGTATTTTTTTTATGTTTAAAAATATTTTAATAAGACTTTTATTTTACATTTAGTGTTGTTACCAAACATAGAGGCTATTTAATGCAAACATTATTAGACAAAGAAGTATATGAATGGCTATATGCCATAAATCCTCTTTTAGCTGGTCAAATTCGGTATGTTATTAGTAGGTATTGTTAGTAGTTTTATGCACAATATTATAATGTACACTTAAATTTTTTTTTAGGTCAAAAACATCACGGCAAATAATGCCAAATGGACAAAATCWAAAGCCTGCATTTGTGTCCAATCCAATTGACACACATCAATAAATATCAAAAATGTATACATACTTTTTACTACACTTATGTGTATATTTGTTTGTGTATGTCCTAAAATGTTAAATTTAATCACATTTAAATATCAGCACTGTTGTTTTGCGATATACCATTTAGTAATGTGCCATTGAAATGTTGCGCTTTATTTAATTATGCTGCCAAAACACATATAATTGCTTTTAAAAAAGGTTTAAAACATTTAAAATTTTAAAACAAAGGTTGTGAAATAGTCGATTCAATATTGTATAATTATCGGTATTTCTTATCTCTTATTTTTTATACCGATACAAACCATTACTTAAAAGAAAAAAACATAAAAGATCAAATAATACTATTTTTATTATTTCTTCAATCATTATTGTGATATTTTGTTTTGTAACATTTGCTGTATACATAATATGTTTTGTTTGTAATTTAATGCAAAATAAGATTAATCCTTTGCTCTAGTCAAATATATATTATATGATTATTTATTATGTTTAATTGCATACAGTTAAATTATTTATGAAATAAAGTTTGAAAAAATTAATACGTTTTGTTGCTAAACTAGTCACAAGTATAATTTGTTCTAAAGAACCTTACATAATTCAGAAGAAATTTTTCCTTAGTTTACAGCAGTCAGYAGGTAAAATAAACCATGCATGTCTACTATTTGTTATCTATTTAATATTTAACATAATATAACTGTAATATTTAGTTCATTCCTGATCTATAATAATTAAAATGTGTAATAATTTATCATAATATAGTATAAATGTCGATTTAAAATAAGTGGGTGTTTTTAATAATGTAACAATTTTTTCACTTGAAATTCATAATCTGAGCTAATTATGACAAAAGCAAAAACTTGAAAAAATAATTTTAATTGAAATCTATTTGAATAACCAGAAGAAGTAAGCAGTAGGCTGTAGTTATGTCTTACAATTGTTATGTAATTAATTCTAAATTGATCTATGTGTAAATTTGTAACAACTTTTTTTAAACACCTACCTAATAAAATAAATTGATTAATAGTTATTATTTTAATTTTGTAAAGAAGTTGGCTAGTGTTAAGTATTAAATTAAAAATAAATTTAATCTATTAATTTTAAAATCAAAGTAATTATTAAATCAATCTGATTAAATTATTGTCATTATAGCTGTGATATAAAGATAAATCCATATACATATTTAAAAAATTATATTTTGTTTAACTAATATATAACTCCATCCTTCTATCAACGGAAGTAAGGTTTAATTTTATAGGAAATATAAATATATAGATTATAGACATAATATTAAAATCGTATTTCTATTTATGTAGATAGTATACCAATATTTTCATAAATTGCTGCCCCCTCCCTACCCCATGGACGCATGAAAATGCTATAGGTATATGACTAGGTAGTAGGTACGTTCAGAATTCAGTATATCTACTGTAAATATATAAGTATTATGATACTATTGATACTTATACAGTTATATACTTTGTATTCTGTAAGTTTATAAAAAGTTGAAATAAATGCACTTTACCAACTTCCTCAACGCTTTCATTTTATTTTTTGTTTTTCTAACGACTTGCTTTAYAATTAATAAAATTATAATTATAATTATAATCAATGAAATTATATGTTATAAAATGGTAAATAATACGAATTGGGGGAACTAACTCTCGTAATTTATAAGGACAAAGTTAAATTATAACACATGGACAAGAAGTTGCTCCTTACCCCAACTGGAAGGAAGACCTCAACTYTCAAGTTGGATGTGAGCTCGACTAAACTTCCCCGAGTTCCTAAGCAAAAATTCTCAACCTCGGAGTGTGATGAAGGGATGAGTCGACTTATCAGTCTTCGGAGAACCATAGCCCATAGGTACCAGGTCATCAGTAGACGAATCACTGATAATCTAACTACCTAACGAGTAAACCTTTCGGTCGCGGTTATAATTTCTAAATAAATAGATTATTTCCAGGAAACGATTTTTGGACCATCGTTTAAGAATAAATATTAAATATTTCGACGAAGTTGGTAAAGTGCTTTTTAGCCTAGTTTATTATAAATTATCGAGAACTTTCTACTTAGTTTAATAGTGTAAGACTTAAGTTATACATCTATAGTGTATACAATTTGCTGAATTGTCCAAGACTCAAGTATCCGTAATAATTTATTATTTTTATGATATTTCATATTTTGTAATTATATAAATTAAAGAATTATACCATAATATAATTTATAAAACATTCCTCGAGGATCATTTTTTTAACTATTTACTTATAAAAATTAAAAATAAATATAGATATGTGGTTACAGATTATTTTATTCACGTCTTAAGAGGACGTTTCACCCGCGACCGCATGTGTTGTCTCCGTCTTACAAGTGCGTTATATTGCAAAAMCTGTTTTGCGCGGGAAAGAACCGAGAAAGATACAGTTATAACTTATAACTAAGAAACGAAATTTTCACCACATAAAAAGGAGAATTTTGTCTGTGCAATATCKTTTTTATTTTTTCGATATCACTTATACAAAAAAAATTCTTATTGTTTTAAAATACATTAATTTTGCGTTTTTTAAGCATGAATAACTTTTTTTAGTAGTTCTGATATCGAAAAAATAAAAACGATATTCCACAGACAAAATTCTCCTTTTTATGTGGTGAAAATTTCGTTTCTTAGTTATAACTGTATCTTTCTCGGTTCTTTCCCGCGCGWAAMAGTTTTTGYAATGTTACGCACTTGTAAGACGGAGACAACACATGCGGGTGAATCGTCCTCTTAAGTATTAAGTAATTTAATACACAATATTCACAACTCAAATTAGTAATTGGTGTTTTAATTTAAAAAGATTTGATTCAGTTCGTTAATCAGTTACACACTGTATTTGAAGGTGATAATATGAGAATTTTGTTTTACTAATCCGGTTACACTGTATGACACAATCTTTTATCAACCTGTTTTTTACATTTATTTACAACTTCAGTAACTCGTTTGCGACTTAGCGTAGCGTTCGTGTAACGTGTTGCCATTAATGTATCCTCCAGTAAAGTTTTTTATTTAATTTAAAAGTTCTTTCGATTTAATTGAAAGTCCTATACACATATTCACATCGGAAATTATAATTGTATTTAACTGTCTATATTTTAAGTGAAAAATGTCGGGTTTTAAGCAAACGCCATTAACCTGCAGCGGACACACCAGGCCCGTCGTACACTTGGATTTCAGCGACAACACCGACTATGGATATTTCCTAATATCTGCGTGCAAAGGTAATATATAAATTCCTTTGGTGACATATGTACGGTTTGTTTATTAATTTGTTTTTATCGTTGGTTCAGATGGAAAACCCATGTTGAGACAAGGAGATACTGGTGATTGGATTGGTACATTTGAAGGCCACAAAGGTGCCGTTTGGGGGGTAGCCTTGAACAAAGAAGCGACAGTAGCTGCAAGTGGTGCTGCAGATTTTGAAGCTAAGGTATGAATACTATTTTTTTAATCAAACAAATAACTAGTTTCAGCCTTGAGTTTAACTTCCTTGTGTGTTATTGTTTATTTGCTTCCTAGATCATTGTACATATTTGTATATGGGCATTGTTTAACTATTTATTTGAAATAATGATAGTTCTGATCAAGAATCAATTTTTTTTTT